CCTGCTGAGGTTGTGAGCCATGAACAAGGTACTAGAGAGGTAGCAGGTTGAGGATAACAAATTCTAATCATTGATTGCAATCCTGTTAATTTTAATACGGGGAGATCAGTCCCTTTCTTGGGCCGGTACTGAACTTTCCTCAATAAATGCGACCTACCTGATGTATCTGCGTCCAGTGAAGCGGTGGGTGGGTGGGCCCTGGGGGCTCTGCAGGGCCCTGGGCTGTTGCGCTGCTGGGTCTCACTGGGTTGCAGGCAGGCTCGGTGCTGGCAGGACCATGAAACCTTAAATGACCCAGCCGCTCGCAAACCAAAGCTTGTATTTATTGTAGAGGTGGCTAAGTAAATCTTGGCAGAGGTGGAAGTCTGCAAGTCTGTGCTGTGTTTTACAGGGCTAAGACATAACCCAGGGGCAACTTCCCGAAGCCAGAAGAGGTCAAAGTACTGCTCAGAGTAAACTGGGTTGTTAGCGTGTCAGCCGGAGCGGGTAAAACCTACCCAGGGGCCTGGCACTGTAATCAGATGTGGTGTTAGCAGAGCCCATCCAAGAATTGCTAAAATGCACCTTGCTGAAGGGTGTGTGACGGCGGGGGAAGGGGAAGGCTGCCCAGCCTCTGGCAGTGGGTGCCAGCCCGGGCTTTTTGCGGAGCCCTAGGGCTCTCCTGGCCCCTCTGCAGGGGGAGCTCCATTGGCATGGCTGGGGACCACTGCCCATTGCAAGGCCCTGTTACTACACGAAAAGTAGAGCTACTCCCTGTAGTCTCTTGAGGGGGAGATGACACCCCAAGGGCTGAAACTAGTCCCAAGGCTCAGCCTCTTTGGGCTCCTTGGCTGTAATTTGCTCCCACACCAGATCCCGCTGGGGGGCATTGCCACCCTCGGGGATTACAGGGGGTGCTGAGCCTGGTAGGACATAGTCTACCAGGGGGTAGACTGGGCTCAAATCGGTAACTCTCCCTCCACCCCACCTGCATCACCAGAGCAGGGGAAACTCACTCCTGGCCAAGCCCTTTCCGGGTGGGCTGGTGTACGCTGTAACAGGAGCAAGGCCAGCACTTGGCTCCAGTGACCAAGCCCCAACCGCAGGAGGTAAGAAGAGGTTTTAAAACTTCCATCAGCTTTATTTAAGCTCAGTCACAGCCGGCGAGAGCAGTAACCCAGCGATACAAAGCCAGGCATTAGTTAAACAAGCACAAATGATCCCTGATCAAAGGATGGTGACGCTGCTGAAAGAAGCCAGCGCAAACTACAGCCCTACGCCAACCCACGGAAGGCTCGGAGCGTGTATGAGCAGGCACAAATGAGCCTGTTTGAAGGAGAGGGATGGTGGCTCCTCACCCCCTGTGCGTGCCACCCAGGTCTTGGGACAAAGTGCTGCGAATTCGGGTTGCGCAGACACCAAGGTGCTCCCCAAAGCTGTTGGAGACGTTCCCTGAGCCCGCCAGCAGCGCACGAGCTCCGTCGTCTTCTTGCCTAGAACACTGGGTTTTCTGGAATGGGACACGCCAGCCTGACCCTGGGCAGGATGCTCAGGGCCAGGGGCTTGCAGCAGGGCTGTGTGGGGCAATACTGGGAAGGCAACTCTTCACTGGTGCCCCGTGTGCTGGTCTCAGTTCTGAGGGACTCGGTATCCGTGCTCTCGGCCATGGATGGCTTTCTCCCAGGGATGGTGGTGGCTGGGAACCCAAGACCATGACAGTCCAAAGCATCAACCCACTGGGGCTGAACACAGTTTTCTGATGGAGATTGCAGCCCAGCAGTGAAACAGCACAGGGTAGTATCAGAAATTCTCATAGTGATGTGCAAAGTAGGTCTGGTCCTTCTTGTTCAGCTGTCGACAAGCTTTTTCCACGTTCTTCGTCATCCCAGGGGGGCCACAGCTGAACACCCCAATCTTCTGCACCTGAGGAGGGAGGGAGCCAGAGGGGTCAAACCCAGCAGCACCAGCACTCCCCTCAACCAAGCCCCCCTTGTCCTCTGGCAGCTTTCGGCCACGCAGTCTGTCCCAGCCTGAGGAGGCTTTCCGGGAGGTTGTCACCACCCCGTGCAGCTGCTGGGGCCATGGAGGATTCCCTAGGGTCTCTGCAGCTCCTGGCAGCGGCTGCAGTCGGCATCTCACCATAGCGTTTGGCTGGCACGGGGCATTGGTGACCCTCATTGGGGCTCCAGAAGGAAAGTGGGGTTCATGCCCCTTCTGCCTTCCCCTTGGTGCGGATGCCACCAAGGTCTTCAGGACCTTGGGGGACAGGCTGGGACCAGTCCTCCACACTGGCTGGTGGGTGCCCCCCCTCCTGTCCCCAGCAAGGCACTGACCTCGGGGTGCACCTCCTGCAGCGAGCTGAAGAA